TATCACTTATAGTGGGGCTTCAGGTTACAGATCCTGAGAAAAGAGGGACTACTGTATATTGTTAGCAAATATTATTATTTACACTCTATATCTTAAAAAAAATGAAATAGTCTTTGCATATTTTAGGTTTATACACTCTCTGGATCATCAGGGCCTCTGTGTTTAGTTCTGTACCTGATTACAATACTTTTGTTTCGAACAAAACACTTCATGTTTACATGATTATCATGTTAACAACGTTGTTGTTTTTTTTTGTTGTTTTTGAACTAACAAATAAAATGTTTTGTTTTTCCTCACAGAACCATGCACTGTGGATGCTGAAAAGATGAACAAAATCAACATTAAATTTGCACGTGTTGATGAAGACAAGTTATATGTACCACATGATGATCTCCTTACCTTTGTTTGTAAGAGAGGCAGACAAGTTGGCTCAGGGCCAATGCGTAGAAGATGTAATGATGGTGAGATGGAACTGCCCAGGTGTGTGTGACTGCTTTTACTGAGTTGATGTGATAAACATCTCTAACATGTCCATGAAAACCACAATTATGAGTGATGTGATTCAATACTATTTTTTTGCGTTTGATTAAAAAAAAACATTTGGTCTTCAGCCTCAGCATGATTCACATTTAAAGTAACAAAAAAAAAAAGGCATGCAAAATGAAAATCAAATGTTACCTGACACAAAAGTTGAAAGATTGATTTATTTTCTCTGCTATCAGTTCATAAATATAAAATTAAAGATCTACATAAATGAAACCATGTACAGTATATCTCTATACATATTGTGGTTGCAAATTCAAGAGAAGTTGACTCAGAGTCGATGCGTAGAAAATGTGTTGATTTTGTGTTCACGACCTGCCCATCTGTAAGGCAGACTGCTTTTTTCTTTCCAGATATTTCATAATTAACATTTAGTGTAAAAAAATTGTTTGAATTTTACATCAGTGGTTAACTGGTTAAAAAATACTAGAGCAAATAATACAATTATCATGAATTAATCATGTTAGAAACGTTGGTTACATACTGTAACCCCAGATTCTATGAGTATAAGCGTAGCCCTTTAAGGCTGTCGCTGATGGGTTTATCCCGTTATGCGAAGCATTACACTAAAAAATTTAGTCCACGCCCACCTTCTGTGTGGGCCCCACCCGGTCCGTAAAAATTATGTTAAGAGCGGGTAATCGGCTCCCAAGTAACTTTTCTTCAGCCATTTAGGAGCCAGTGAGGCCCGACGCTTAAAGGGCTACGCTTATACTCATAGAATCTGGGGTTACAGTACGTAACCAACGTTCTATTTTGTATAAGCTTCGCCCTTTAAGGCTGTCGCTGAAGGGTTAAGGGCGAAGCAGATGTTGTCCTCGCCTCACTGGGTCCATTCGAACGCCGTATGAAGCAGAAGCTTGCCCAAATAACGTCTTGTCACTCAGCTCCCCATGTACGTAATTACGCATTGCGTAATTATGTGTGCCATGCACAGACGCATGTTGTGTAACTATGCGTTCTGAATGCATGAACGCCCCGGAAAATTTTCAACGGGGAGGGAAAATTTGCTGAAAAGAGCCATGAACCAACCGGTTTACGGCTGAACAGTATGAACAGATTAATAATAACAGGAGAGCTGATTATTAATCAAATGAACTGATTGGTAACAATACTCATGAACTGATTTTTGACAATAGAACCAAAATAACAATCACAACTTGTGACTGATAACATCTCACACTGTAATGCATGCAGACAGATGTGAGTTAAACGGGGTTCCATGAAACAACAATATTCATTCTGTAAACACTAAGGACAGAATGTGTCATGGAACGGGCCGTCACATCACGTAGATAAAAGTGAATAAATAAGCAAGGTGTTGACCACGCGGCTGCAGTGCAAATGTCCTGCATTGACATACCATTATGCAAGGCAGTCGAAGATGCGATACCCCTGGTCGAGTGTGCCCTGAGGTTGACAGGAGGCTCTAAATCTGATGCTCTGTAGGCTTCAGAAATGGCCTCACACAGCCAGTGTGACAGGTGCTGGGTGGATAACGGGCGACCTACAGATGCATCTCTATAAGGCACAACAAATGTTGAATTTGACGCATTGCAGCTGTGCGTGCTATGTAACACGTCAACGCCCGCACTGGACAGAGAAGATGGAAAAACGCTTCTTCTTCTGATTTGTGGGGGGAAGGGAAAACCCCTCCAACGATATCACTCTTGATTTAAAAGAGCTCATGATGTTTTAGGCATAAAGCTGGATTTGGTCTTATATCAGCTGAGCTACCGTCAGCCTGAATTCTGAGACATGACGGAGCGACAGAGAAGGCAGATAAATCACTCACCCTCTTAGCAGATGTTAAAGCCAGCAGCAGGGTTGTTTTAAGAGACAAGAATTTAATTGGGACCTGATCCAGAGGCTCAAATGGAGATTTGATCAGGGCTCACAGGACCAGCGTTAAAACCCACTTTGGAGCAAGTGGGTGTGAAACAGGCCGGCGTCTTTGTACACCTTTTAGAAAACGCTTCATAAGCGGATGATTAAAAGCTATTCTGTCTCCGAACCCTTCGTGGCAGGAAGAGATGGCTGCAGCGTACATTAATCGTGTCGGACGCCAAATTTCTGTCCATCAGCTGTTGCAGAAAGGACAGCAGGTCACCTAGTGGACATGAAGGTGGCCTCTACACCTTTCTCTGTACACCAGCGCTGAAAAACTGTTCACTTTGATGTGTACAGCGCTGTGGTAGATGCAGCACGTGAATCCTGAATTGTGCGCACTACATCCTGTGGGAGACCCGTCCCTTCTAAGCGGGTCCGCTCAGCGGCCAGACCCACAGGTGCTGGCCTATTTCTGGGTAACTCCTGGTCGCTCCTCCTGCCTGAAGGAGAGCTTCCTCCCTCCACGGCAGTTTCCACGGGCGCCCCGATAGCAGGCGTTGCAGGACTAGGAACCATGGTGCGTCCACATGCTCGGGGGCCACCAGGAGAGCAGTCAATCCCTCCTCCTGAACTCATTTCAAGAACCGTAAAATCAAAGGAGGTGCAGGAAACGCGTAAAGAAGCGTTTTGGGCCATGGGCTGTGGGCAACGCGTCCACCCCCAGCGGTGGTTCGTCTTGTGGGCTCAGAGAAAACCGTAGTTGACACTGAGCGTTTTCTCGTGTCGCAAACAGGTCCACAGCTGCTTTGCCAAATTTCTGCCACGTCTGGGCCCTCAGGTCTGGATAGAGAGTCCAGTCCCCGTGACGTGGGCCGCCCCTGGACATCACATCTGCCCCTTTGTTTAGAACACCGGAACTGTACACTGCTCTGATAGGGAGCAGATTTTGGTGTGCTCAACGCAGTAATTTTTGTCGCAATGTGTAACATCTGGGCTGAGCGCACACACCCCTGCCGGTTTATGTATGCAGCAGTCACCTTGTTGTCTGTGTGAATCAAAACGTGTTGATTCTGCAGCACAGGAGCAAAGTGTTGAATCACGTTCAGCACCGTGCGACACTCCAAAACATTTATGTGGGCTGATGTGTGATGGGGCCATAGCGCCCCTATAGCTTGAGATAGGCATGTCCCCCCCAACCTGACAGCAACGCGTCTGTGAAGACTGACACGTGTGACGTGGGTCTGCTGATGGGGACTCCCTCCAACAGAGCCAGGGTGTTTCCCCAGTGTCGGAGGTCTACTCTCACGGAGGAAGGGACAATGATCATCCACCTCTTTTGTTTTACTGGGTCCACACACAGACGCGCAGACC